CAAGTCATTTAAATTCTCAGAACTTCACCTTATTCATTTGCAAAATAAAGATAATTATAATTGACCTACCTCTATCACAGTTATTGTGAATATTAAATGGAGTAATGCACAGAAAAAGACATGGAAAATTATAAAGCACTCTATAAATGGATGTTATTAATCTATTGTTAGAGTAAAAAGAAAGATCTAGGAATGACTTTTTGAGGTGAAATATGTAAGACAAAATAGTATTCCATTACTACATATATATTGGACCCAGGTTGTAAACTAGGTTAACCTTCCTTCATTATAAGTGTCAGTAATACATTTCACTTGCTCACTTCTTAGGTATCATAGTACTTGTCATCATTTTGTCTTATCCCCTCCACTGAAATATATACTGCATGAGGGCAGGGCAGGCACTGCCTCTCCTGGTCAACACTGTAGTGCCATCATTTAGCATCATGTCTGGCACCATAAATATTTGTTTGACAGTATGACTGATGGAATGACCAAATAAAAGGCATCAGGAGTGATAAAGAAGGATATAATACCCGTCTTGGTCACATTTGGGGGGTAGTACCCCACAATCAAGATGCACCATATATACAGACACAGATGAAGAATGAAAGTCTTATGTCGGTGGGTGTGACCTGTGCCTGCCTATGTCTGTGATTTCATCTCTGTACATCCAACTGCTCACTCATTGTGTTCCAGATATGCTGGCTTTTGTTCATCCAGCACTGCAGGCTCACTGCTCACTAAGGGTCTTTGAAGATTCATCTTCAAAATATTGACACAGCTGTCTCCTTGTCATTCAGGTGTCAGCTCAAATGTTAGCTTTGTAGGGAATTTTTCCCCAACAACCTGATCTTAAGTAGCTGTCCCCATTACCTCCTATCGTGCAATCCTGTTATATTTTGTTCACTGTATCGCTCACCACCCTATTTACCATTTCAAATCATTGTCCCAGCATGCCCTAGCTCTCTTTACTTATTTCTCTTCCTTACAACTCTTATTACCTTCAGGTATACTATACGTATTTTACTTACGTGTTCATTGTTGGTTTTCCTGCTAGAATATAAATGTCATGGGAGCTGTCGTTGTATATCTCTCTCAGTGTTGTATTAGTACATTTTGCCATCAGTGAAAGTCCTTCTACCTGATACATTTTTCCCATTTGCCTTGCTTGCCTCAGCACCAGCAAAGGATTTTATCCGTCTACTTCAACCATCAGTAGAATCAGAAGGGGCAAAAATGAACTGCTGATTTTTTCCTATATGAAATCACTTGGTGATCCAGGTTTCTTTTGACATTTGTTGTTAAAGTCCACAGAAATGCTATCATACCTGCACATTAACACTTACAATATCATGCTGAAGAACTATAACCAGTAAGAGGCATGCTAGATCAACACAGAAGGCTACTGTAGGATAGGACTCTGGAATTCCACTAACATCTCATTCCTCTGCAAAATGAAGTGTCTTTCCATGGTTAGAGCTGTTTACCTTCCTCTCTATCCTGCTGGTTATCCAAGATTTATGGAACTTGCCCTATGTTCAGGGACTATAATCATCCAAGACTACCCAGCTTTAGAGCATAGAACTCCTCATGAAATGTCTGAATGCTTTAGGATATTGGAAAACAATCCAGTTTCAGTGCTTTAAATGAACGGTTAAAGACAAAAGAATTTATTTTTGCCCTGGGGAAAATTTCCAGCCTGTTGGTCTTCATTCAGACACTGTAGTCTTATCAAAACAAGAAGTGTCAGGTCAGTAAAACATCA